CCTTTGCCCAGTGTGGTCCTTAGTGAGTCCCTTTGGACTGGGCCTTAGTAATGCTTTTGGGCCTGTCGGGCCCAGTCCAGAACACTTACTATGGAGACGATGTCTGTACGAATCGTAGATCGTGTAATGAAGACTCTAAGAGGCAAGGAGATTGCTTTGGTGAAAGTAGTCTTGTTAGGAGCTACCGGAGAAAGCATGGCGTAGGAGTTGGAAAGTAAGATGCGGGACTCCTATCTTGAGTTGTTCGAACAAAGTAAATTTTCGAGGACGAAAATATTTTAAGTGGAAGAGAGTTGTAACGCCCAATATTTAATTAAATATTTTCCCGATTAAATTTTCTAAGTTGTGAAATGTTGATTTAAGTTATGTCGTTCTTAGTTGAATTAATTAGTTGATTAAGTTGTAGGATTAATATTGAATAATACTATTATTATTTATGTGGGCTTATTTTAATGTTAGATGTAGTAGAAAAGGAGGTGTAGAAATTTAAGTCTAACAAGGCAAAATAAGAATAAATAGAATGATAATAATATTATTATATTAATAGATGTTTAGAAATAATAAGAAGTAGAAGTATCAATAAGAGAATAAAGAAGAATATGTTTTGGCAGAAGAAGAAAATAAGGGTTTTGGAAGAGATACGTAGAAGTGCAAAGAGAATGCAAAGTTATGTCTAATCGGAGAGTTAGAACAACTTTTAATCTAAGGTAAAAATTAGGTTCTGATTCTATAATATGGTATGTGATAAATGATATATAAGATTATATTGTAAAATTGTTTCTGTTTGTGTTTAGAATTAATATACCGATGAAATTGAAGGATAAATTGAGAATCCAATATAATATAAATGTCATGCTGTAATGTCGTATATACGTTTTGAACCAATAAAACTGGACAAATTTAATAGCATCACATTACTGTGTGTTATACTATCACATATATTTTGATAGATGTAACAAATGGGGATATAATAATTAGTAATTTATCAGCGGCGCTTATGCTAAAACTAAGCATCACGCTCATGTTTCTAGGATAAATAGAATTGTGGTACTTGGAATGAGTATAGGATAATTAGATAATTGGAATGAATATATATATATATATATATATATATATATATATATATATATATATATATATATATATATATATATATATATATATATATATATATATATATATATATATATATATATATATATATATATATCATTAGTTAATAATAATAATAATAATAATGTAGTATTACTAAGAATAATATTTTTTTAAGAGTTTTGGAATTAGAGATGAGAAATTAAATTAATTTTTAATTATGTTAGAGTTGTCAATAGAGTTATTAGAGTTGTTAATAGAATTGTCAATTGAGTTGTTAATAGGGTTGTTAGGGTTGTCAATAGTGTTGTTAAAGTTATCAATAGAGTTGTTTCATATCATTAAAAGTCACTTTGATTTATTTCGTGTAATTCCGACATGTTTAGAGTTGTAGTAGGGTAAGTTGGAGTTTTTAAATAATAATATATCCTTGCTAAATTATGATTTATTATCAGTATATAAATTTGTTTAATCAATTGTAGTAGTATGCCACTAGAGTAAATTAAGATAAGTAGCCGAAATTGGTGGTAGGCTTATTAATAATTAAACTGATTCTCCTTAGTTCATTACTTTTAAAATAGTAGGTTTATTAAGATATTAGTAAAACATGACCAGTAGATAAGGATGTGTGACTTATATTAAGCTTATGTTCAAAAGTTATATATTGCAGCGATATTCTAAGTAAATTGAGAAACTAGTTGTAAGTGTTTTCAAGTTACTGATATATAATATACCATTAGTATAATAGTAATATTAATAATAATTATTATAATAGTAAATGATTTAACATTGTTAGTATAATAATTTGTAGAAGTTTTGTGATTAGAATTAAGCATTTAGATAATTAATTAACCGGAAATAGTTGAAATAGCCCGAACGGTTACACGGTTTAGTTGTAGTAAATTTTGGGTAATTCGTGGTATCATGTTCCTTGTTGAACAATGCGAATTTGCAAGTGATGTCGTGGCTTGTTGAATTGCCTCTATTTATGGGTAAAATATTAAGTTGTGGGCTTATAGCCAATTTTGATTTGTTGTTGTGTTGCTATAGAATTTTGTTGTTGCTATCCAGACATTCATATTGAGTCGCATACATAGCATATCAAGTTAGAGCTCATTCTCGGTAAGTTGGCCTGAATTGACAAATTAAGTTGAAGGCTTATGTCTTGTTGATGCCTCTATTAATTGGCATATTTCTAAATTGGGAGTTTTGCTCCATTGGTACCACATGCATGTGCATTGTAACGAGTCACATTATGTGTTGCATATTTAACATGTTGTATTATTGACTTGTGATGTTTGATGTTGGTTGAAAGTTGTTAAGTGGTGATTTTATATAATCCGATCTATTAAATTGTTTATCATACACTCAATTATATGGTTCGATATTTTACCCCTTCTGTTTGAATATTGTCCTCTGTTGGTAACATGCAGATAATCAAGAAGGATATTTATTGCCTTCGTTAGTTCGAGTCGGTGTTGTTGTTTGATACGTAGCACTCGGGGGGATTAACACATGTTTTATTTATTGTTGGTTTTCTTTATGTTGCTGAATTTTTAAGTTCTTTTCATTAAAGACTTGTTGTCTTAAAGCCGTTTTGAGTTGGACAAGGTGTTATGATGTTTTCAGTTGCATTTGTGAATCCGCTGCATAGTAACGAAAGTTGTTTTATTTTTTTAAAGACTAAACAAGTTGTTATCAGTTCATTCGAATTTTATGTGTTATGTATCTGAACTATAGGTGATTGTATGTCGTTATTTCCAAGTTGAAAGTGTAGTATTCCATTTGTTTATTGAAAATTTTGTAACTCTGATTTTATATAATTCGTTGGGTAGAAATGGAGTGTTACAGTACTCTCTATGCTTAGACGTAAAAGATTTCAGCAGAGCTTAAAGCATGACTTCTCCAGGATCTCTAGCACAAATCGGGAACCTCCGAGCTTCAGGTAGTTGCCAACAAAAAAGCATAAAAGCCCGACCTAAAGTAGCAAAGGAAAATCACCTCACCATTTGAGTTATCTCAATTAAGAAGGTTAGCTCTACCATCAGCTCAGAATCTACCTCAGTCCAACTGACCAGATACTAGCAAATAAGAAGAACTAAATCACACTTCAAAAAAGGCAACCCAAGGAAGAGTCGGGCAATGAGAAATTTACGTCAGGATAAGAAAATTCCGCCATTAAATAACAAGGGTGGAAATAGTCATTAGATCAACTTGATTCTCAATATTAAGATCGACTCGGCTAAATCAGGCCTGACCTGATAGAGGAAGAATAATCATTAAAAAGTTTTAATATTGTCTTTCATTTAAGGTATCTCTTCCCGTCAAGCGTTGTTAAACATTAAAACATTGGTCCCCTAGAATACTAAGAGACATGAGGAAGATATAAGGTCGGATGAAGCAGGAAATCATGAACATTTTGAGACATATCAAAAGTCCATAATCAAACTCGCCACAGGTGAGTCCAAATCATAGAGTTTAGTGTAAGCATGTCAAGTTAGGTTAACTTTGGAAAGATGATAAAAGCCGAAGATTTTTCGTAAGCATCTCGCCATCATGCGCCTCATGTTTGGAGGGATGTGTACATCCTGGTTAAAATTAATGGGTCAGATTAATCAGTGAGACATAAAGTAATAATATCTAGAAATATCAAAGATTTCATCTGTTAAGCATTTCACTCATACGATCCTCATACTTGGGGGCTGTGAAAATATCCATAAACTTGGATCGTACACTTAGGCTCAAGAGAGCCTGCCCGCTCTCGCAAACAAAGAAGTTAAGTCGTTTAATGGCCATAATATACATGTATCGATCAAACAAAGAGACATAGGCCTTGATTCCTCTTTATTACCTTCTGCTAGAGAAGAAAGCACATATCATAATGACTATTGAATCAACATAAAGATTCATGCCTACAAAAATCAGACATGAGCAAACACGAAAGGGAAAACTCTACATACGTAAGTGAAACATATAATTTCTTTATTGAACATCTCTAATGAGATTAAAACTGAGCCTCCTCGGTCTCACACCAGTGAAATACAATGATGTACTTTTTGGAGTACAACACTATAACAATTATAATAATATGACAAAATTATTTTGTCTGGTGATCTTTTTCAAACATAAGACATCATAATTTCTAATATCACAATAGAAAATATAATTAAACAAATGAGATTAACCCCTCACAACACACAAAACAAAAAAAAATTAATAGTACTTTGGCGTGGGTTTACGAATGCTTTGGGGGAATTTTAAAATTCAAAATTCTGCATTGCGACGGGCTAAGAAAAACTATATGACAATTTGCTAGGGGCTTTGCCTAGCCAAAAAGAGTATCTCTACACACAATCTCATTCCCGTTCAGTGTGTCGGTCCATGCATTTATTACTTGACAATTTGCCAGAGGCTAACACCCTCGCAAAAGTCACAATAAATTCTTCAATTACGCTTCAGTTTCTCCATTATGTAACTATCTCCATTTTTCTTCTTCCATCCTATTCTCTAACTCTCTTCCTCTTCTCCACTTCTTCTCAAATTATTCTCTCCAATTTTTAAGGTAAAAATAAATATTTTCTTTTTCTTTTTGATTTACAGTTTATTTAAAAGTGCAATTTTAATTCTCAGTAGGACACATGGTCTTTTTAAAAAAATTGCTCCCCAATTTATTATTGTGAACCTAAATAACAAATCGATATTTTCCTTGAAGAAATACTACACAATATCTAAGGACGTTAAGAGCAAAGAAAGTAAGAGACATAATTGAAGCATAGTCTTTATTTTACACAAGCTGCTTGAAATAAAGAAAACACATACATAAGCTGCTTCTAAGCAGGGTCTTTATTTAGAAATAGTAGATAATTATTAGAAGCTGCTAAAGTAAGCATAGGTTGCAACAACATTATTCATATGTCTGAGACAATATTGCCGGTAGTTGCTTCCAAGTTTGATGTGAATGACCATGAATGGATATCGAATGCTAGAGCAGTTATTGAAGTAGCAGATAGTCCAATCCTTACGGTGTTTGGTAGCACAGTTTTCAAATCAACCTCTTGAGAAATGGTAATAATTTGTCCATTCTCATAAGTGACAACAGCAGTCAAAGTGTTTGAAGGAGAGTCATAGATTATAGTTACTTTAGTCAATGAACCATTCAACCGGCTCCATCTCAGTCTCACGGTCTTGGTCGAAATTAAAGAGTTTATGTCGATTCCAATATGTCTCATATTCGGATCAAAAGAATTGGCATAAAGGTCAAACTCTACACCAACAAAACGATTGATTGAAATTCTACTATCAACTACTCCCAGAAACTGACTGTTTGAGTTGTTGGGAATCACAGTGTCTGTTGGTGCAATGAAAAAGACCAGACCATCAGTTGGAGCACGTCCTTCTGGGCGCGTAATGACGAACGAAAAGGAAGTGACAAAACTGGCAGCTAAGCCAGTAACGCTGTCCCAAAGCGGCACCGGTGTTGTATATAAGGCACGACCTGTAGTTGGAAAAGTTATACCGGGAGGAAGTGGCGTACTGTTGGTCAGTGCCAACACACCATTGGATAAAATCTGGGCATCCCCTTGGAGGGTTATACTAGAATCACCAGGGGTGAGCTTGGTGAAATTGAAGGACAATGCTTGCACTGAGTTTGTATTTGTGCCTAACAAAACAAAGATGACAGAAACAAGGGAGAATAGTTCTTGGGTTGGAAAGTTTGTGCGATAAAAAGCCATTGCACGCATACGGAAGTTTTGATACCAAGTTATGAATTACATGGTTTCTATGGTGTGTGTATATATACTATTACAATAGGAAACCTATGCTAACTCAACCAAATCATAAAAGTAAAAATTTATTTGAATAGAATTAAATTGTTTGAATTTACACACACTATAAGAAAAGAACTTCCCATCAAATTAAAGTTGTGACGTGATTATTACGTGACAAAAAAAAAATGAGGTTGCGACGTGATAATCATGTCATTATATAATTTTAATAATAAATTGAGACGTAATTTTCACGTTGCAATCTATTAAATAAAATATAAAATTCAAAAGACTATAACGTGCACATGGTGGGAAGTTTGAAAATTTCAAATTTTAAGTTGTGACGTGAATATCACGTCGCAACATTTTAAGGGGAAAAAAACCTGACTTGATTTTGACTGATCACAGGTGGGTGCAGTATCATAAATAAAGTTTTTTTACCGTTGAAAAGTTGTGACGTGAAGATTGAAACGTGATTTTCACTTCGCTGATTGAGTTATATATATATATATATATATATATATATATATATATATATATATATATATATATATATATATATATATATATATATATATATATATATATATATATATATATATATATATATATATATATATATATATATATATATATATATATTAACTGTGTATTTTATATAAATAGATAAAATGCCACTTCGAATTGATAAGAGTAAGAACAATGGTAAGAATTTCTAACGTCTGAGGTTAATAAAATGCGAGGCACCTCAGTCGGCCACGTCTCTTCCTCCAGAAAGTCAGGTTGAACCTTTGTTCATGGCCAGTACTCAGTCTTTTGTGCCATTATTCTCCTCTTAGAAATGTCATTCCCATATGGGAATTCGTCTTTTATTAGCCCATCTGGGGTACCAACTTTTGTTAGACCATCTGGTTTTCTTTTCCTGTAGAGCCAGATGCCCTCATCCTTCCAGCATATCGGAGGATCGAGTTTTTCACATCCCGCACATATGCCCTTATTCTTTCAGCAGACTGGAAGATCCAGCACCTCACATCCAACTTATACTAGAGGATCCCGCACCCAACACTCCCACACATGTGCCCTCATTCTTCCAACAGACTGGAGGATCCAGTGTAACACCCCAATTCTATCAAAAAATTATATATGAAACCAGAGTTATAAAACTTCCACAACTAAATTAGGATGCTACAAATTCAACTTTAAAAGAACGACATTGTCACACATCGTCCACAACCCGAAGAGATGAAATGCGACAATAATAGAAAAAGATGTAGCAGTAAAGATTTGTGATTAAAGCCATCAATTGACTTATCTCAACACAATGAAGTCGCCACCGCACTTTATTGTTTCCAAAGAGAAATGGGAAAAAACGAACAAAACCCATAATAAAATAAAAGATCAGAGATCGAGGTACAGGGTCGGTTATACAAAGGAAAGGTATTAGCACCCTAAGCATCTACGGTACTCCGCAGGATCCACTTTGTTTGGTTTCTTTTAAAAGGAGTGTCATCTAAAGGTTTACTTGCTAAAGGAAAATAATGAATGAGTATTTGTAAACAAAAAAAATGTTTTTTTATTATTTTTTTGCTCGCTTTAGGTCGTAAGACTTAGTGCCTACGTACTCCCTCGTGCAATGCAAAAGTCAGAGCACCGTAGTTCGGCTTGAAAAGACTTGTCTGTTGATTGATTTTAAACAAAGAGACAAGTCATCATTGTTAGGATAAAAATCTCGACTAACGCCTAAAAGGTGTGAGAAAGATGGACCCTGCGTCAGCAAGAGTGAGGGTTTGAGAACGCCTCTAGTACTCAAGTGGAAAAGTCGACACCTTTATAACCATGGGAATAGGAGAATGTTGTTCGACTATCAATGAATCATATCTCATTTTGAAAAAAGGTTTTGACGGGTAAAGGTGCTCGAGCGCACAAAAAGGTTTGAATGAGTTTAAGTGTTTTTGTTGATTTTGAAAGATGTCGAAGTATGATTAAATGAATTGAAGTTTATTTAAAGAAAAGAAGTTTTAAAAGAAAAGGCACTCGTGTTTACCTGGGGATTTGGTAAACAACCGCTGATCTTCCAAATGGTTACTTATTTGGTTACTCGCAGGATCGATCAGATTGATCCTATGGACATAGGTTGATTTTGAAGTTTAACTAATGTGGATAAGGCTTTAAGTAAATTGTTTAAAATAAATTGCATAAAGGAAAAGGCTTGGTAAAATAACAAGGCTTGAATGTAAAGGTTCGACAGGAATCTTAAAGGGAAAAAGCATGTAAAATACTGGAAAAGTAAATGACTTGAATTGATAAATTGGTGTTTCACACATACATTTCTCAACAATTCGTTCGCTCACACTGGGTACTTGAATCTAAATGAGTGACTATGTATCTATTGTGAACACACGCGAGAAACTACACGTCTACTCCTATTTATACAAAAACATTCCAAGTAACCGTCGGGCAGTTACACTGCTTCGAGATCAAGCCACTTGTCACGTTCTCCATGCTCGACGCTCCAGATCCTTGCACGTTCGCACGTAGTAACTGCTGGAAACCGTTTTCCCTCCAAAGCTTTGAATTTCAAACTGCTCCACTCTGGACCATCGAACACGTTCGTCAAGAGACGTCTTCGACGAAAACTCCTTCGACGTCGAAGGCAATCAGCCTTCTTCCTTGGAAGAAATCTTCTAAGTATTTGGCCATCTTTCGACGGGCACTTCGACAGGCTTAGCCAGTCGAAAGCATCTTTCAGCTTTTAATGGCTGTCATCAGTTGAAACAAAGGTGTCGAATTTAGGAGCCAACAAATTGCCCCCCAAGAATGCCTTATTTCGACTCTTGAAAGAAAAAGGCATTCTTTGAAAACGCCATTCGACACCTGTTTGTCCACGCTTAGTCACAAGTTAACTTGTGCACTTTTTGTTGCTTTTTACCAACTATTGGCAATCCCAAGAAATCATCATTGATTTGATCCTAGGACGTCACTGTCAGTACGGCGTGCAGAACCAAAACATCACTTCATAATTTGTCATTATGACAAATTCAAAAAACGAGGACGCACGCTGCGTCTCTCTGTTTCTGCAGAAACGGCCAAAACAACAGGATGCTGCCACGCGTCCCACTACTCCCTGCAGCATTAAATGACATTTAATGCCCTCGTTATTGGGAATTTCTCCCACTACTATAAATAGTAGTGAATACCCCATTGTGGGACTTTTCACGCAAACCATCTCTCAAACTCCCTTGCTTTCTTGCAAACTTGCTTCTCTTTGCAGAAAAACTCTTCCCTTTCCAACTTCATCTTCATCTTCAACAATGGCTTCTGCTTCAACTGCCCCCAAGACTAACGCACCGACTGAACAACTTGCTAAACCCAAGGTTTTTGTAACCGCTCCGGTAGTGAACGCTACAGGGAAACGAAGGGTCCCTGAACCATCTGACATCTCCGTTCGTGATGCTTACTCGCGTCACTTGATGATTCCGGTTGGATACTCCAACCAAATCTTCGCAATGGCTGGACCCATGAACCCCAGCATCTCTGAAGCTCTGAAGATCAAGAGCTACTTTCCCATTGTCGAGAAACTCAAGCCAGTAGCTTGTGCTAAGAAGGATCCAGAAGACAACGAAGACCCCACACACGAGAAGATCGACCTTCGTTTCTTCAACAGAAGTGTTAGAGTTTTTAGGTCTTGCCCTAATCTCACCCAGGACTATGTTGCTTGGCTAACAAAGCTGGAAAAACATCAAACTCCAGTCTGGAAGGAGATGGGCATCTTTGACCTAATAATGCTGTCGAAGACAGGTTTAAACTACTCCCCAGAGATGCTTATAGCTTCGATGCTGTTCTGGGATAACTCTCACTTCACCTTTCACCTTCCATGTGGGATGTTAACTCCCACACTCTTCGACGTAGCAGCCATCACTGGCCTTCGACCAACCGGAGATTACTTCGACCCGGAAGAGATGTCGGAGGACCAAATTGGCTTTTCTGAGACGAAGCCAACATTCACCACCTTTATCAACCATTTTCACGACAAGTCGACAGACACAGTGTCCGACGTTGAACACATAGCGTTTCTAGCCTTATGGCTAACTCGCTTCGTGTTCTGTTCGAAGTCCCTGCAAGTGACCAAAAAGATGGTCACTCTGGCCACCCAACTGCATCACCGCCAGAACATCTGTCTGGCAGAACTAATTCTGGCCAGTCTTTATGACTCCATCAGCAATGGGGTTACTCTTTTGAAGCATATCGAAGATAGGAACAGCTTGCTACTCGCTGGGCCTTTCTGGCTACTTCAACTGTGGCTTAACGCCACTTTCGAGTCTTTTTTACCCAAGAAGAGTCAGATAAACGAACAAGCCCCAGCGATAGCTAATAGACGTATCGAAGGGATTAGGCTGGCTCTACTGACACCTGTAGAAGATGGGCTCGAGTTCCAACAAACCTTCACTAACTTCGTGCTGATGTTCGCTCGAAGGAAGGAATTTGTTTCGACTATGGCTCCATTCGCTCAGCGAAAGGTGGGGCCAGCTTGGTTCACAAGGCCACATCCCAAGGAGTCGAGTGGTCCCAATGTTGATGAGCACACCATACTGTGGGAGGCATTCCTTACTCCAAGGATTATGCCTCTTCGATTTAAGAGTTCTAAGACTCATCTGAGTCTGCTGGCCTATCAACCAAACCTGGTATCTCGCCAGTTTGGTATCATCCAAACCTTGCCTTCTCCCATTTTTCCAAGAGAGAAGTCAATGTTGTACTTCTGCAACGATTATACAGAAGAAGCTGCTACCAGGCATATTGGAAGATATGCTGGTCGAACAATCCTCTCGCTGTTCAATTACCAGCTTAACTTCCTTTGTTCGCCATCTTTTGAAGAATGGTGGAGAAGCTATTACGCTGAGTACTTCTTCGACGAGAAGGACTTCATAGCAGAGTTGCAGAAGTCTTTTGTCCTCGTATTTGACAAAGTAAAGAAATGT